AATAGCCATTTTTCCAACAGTTTCTAATTTATACACTTTTTAATATCCATATCCTATTTGGTCAAAAATGAATTCACCAAAATCTTAATTTTTATTTTTTAATTTTTTTCTTCTAAAACTTTTTATTTCATGACTTGTAGGTTCACCTCGTTTATAATATTTGATTATGCTTCGAAAAAAATCATAACTTGATGTTGGATTTTTGGTAGATTGAACATTCCATATGATTTTTTTTACAAGTGTTGTGTTTGCAAATTTGCTTTAAAAATTTAAAATTATTGGATGCAAATTGATTGATGAGTATTGTAATTTTGAGTAAATCATTTGTCTTGAACTAGTAGTTAAACTAATTTTGTCAATCTATGTCTCATGTTTTAACCAAATTCTCATATGGTTATTTTATTTTCAACTTTTGTTGAATGAAGTTCATTATGGTTCCATTAGAATTGACTTTCAAGATCTTTGGTATTACATAGCATAAGTGACAAGAGTGTTATGTGTTGAATTTTTTTAAATAATAAAAATAAACTATAATATTCTTAAAAGTTGACAACTATTCACAAATTATGAAATTATATCATTTATTGAGAAGGTCATAATTCATGTTGTAAGTTATAGATTTTTTAATAAAAAAAGGCTTTAAATTTACAAACACTATTTTTAAAGTAACTTCATATCAATAGTTTTAAAATAAATATTTTAAAAAATGACATAGTATAAAATATTTATTTTGATCTTTGTAGGCTTATCAGCCTTTATTGATTCTTATTGTTTTTAAATACACAACAAATTCTATCAAAGTAATTTACTTAACTATTTTTGCCAATATCACATTATGAGCATATTGACACATATGTACATATTAAAAAGGTTAACCACATATTATTTCTAAAAATGCCACACATATTAAAATTAACCATGTTTTTTCACTCTGTAATTTTAAAAATCACCATATTTTATCAAGATATATAGTTCTCTACAATCTATTAGAAAATGCAATTACTACAAAGAAAAATGTTAAATCATTTCTTTTGCTCTTTTCTATTTCTATTATCAAATTTTAAGAAGAGTGGACAGGATCCACCGTTTTTGTGGTATTCTTTAGTGATTTTAGTAAAAGTTTCATTTTATAAAATAAAAGATAAATAATTAAGTGTGTAATTCGGAGCATGCATTTTTATATAACTTCAGTTTTAAATTCAAACCTTATTTCTAAATTATACATATTTAAATTTATGATTTTGTTTTGTAATATTTCAAGTTGAGATTACTTTAAAACAAGTTCATGTGTAGAAGTTTATAACTTCTAAAACATACACCTAAATTAATAGATAAATGAAACTTAAAGTAATTATTTTTTAAAAAAAAATATTGGCCATTCTCTTTTCATCTTTGGCAACACTTTGTTAAAATACAATATTAAGTATTTTACCCTCTGTGTAATCATATTAGCTATAAACTATACTTTTGCACAAAAGAAGAAGGTATACTGTGTTAGAATCCATCAAGCAAGCAAGACTAAAATTTGACAGGTGGGATTCAAACATTAATAGATACTTTTTGTAAGAGATTCTTTTTGATACAATTAGCCATGCCATGATCTTGTTGTTTATCATTTCCGGACCATTTCTATCTAAACTTTTGTTCGCCCAAACAACGGTTTAAGAGCATAAGGCTGATTGCTGTACTGGAAGAAGGCGTTGCCGTAGTGAAGTGAACCGAGAACCTGGGTACCTGCATATCTATAGAGTTTCCATAGATATGAAGAGAACCGAGAACCTGGGTACCTGCAAAGGTGTTAACAATGCAGAGCAAATAGCTAACGAATGCGAAGCCCCAACCATATTATTGAAGGCTGTTCAATTGGAAGGCAGGCGGTTTCAATTGTCGTGTTATTCTGCCTAATGAAAAATCCGAAGTGGAGCTAATTGTATACAGTGGTATGGAAGGGTGCCAACACGCATATCTATGGAAACTCAGCATTGTGCTGCAGCTACAGCACTTTACCAAATGAAAGGGAAATTGCAGGATGGATCGCATTGTAGCTCCAGTGCAACGAGAGCTACACTTAGTGCTCTTGAGTGACTGGAATCGGCTTCGTGTAGGAGACATATACATTTCAGGGCTCTGGTACATGAAACGATGTCACGGTTGCCCTGATCACCGAACAAGACTGCACATGGCCTAGTGGGGTGTTGGGAAAAGCTTGACGAAGATGCTGCCAGTGCATGGGAGGACGTAGCCGAACCGGAAACCAGTGGTCGGAAGCTTGATTATCCTTGGGAGCAATTCCCACTACAAGAATAGAAGCAAGCTCCCTCTTGCTGTTACGATGGTTTTGATGAATGAGCTAATCAATGCGTCTGCATTGAAAGATTCTCCAGGGTAGTGATACAGGTGTGGATCAGTTTTGAGCGGTAGTCCAGAAATTCAGGTTCATTGAACGAGGTTGGAGGCGACTAACAGCGGACCTGCCACCGCCATGGCATCTTCCTGAGCGGCATTGTGGATTGTTTTGTTTTGTTGTGTGTAATTTTGTGTTTTTCTTGTGTGTGTGTGTGTTTTTTTATTTTGTTTTGTTTTTTTTTGTTTTTTTTTTTTTTTCTTGCAAAGAGAAGATGGAGGCAAGTGATTGGCAGGAGTAGTGAGATGTGGTAAAGAACTAGCGATAGAAGGTTTTGTTATGTTGGGATGTGAAGATTATGTGTTTTGGGTTGTTAGTTAGAGGATCAGAGGTAGTCAGTTTGAGACCCAAAATGAGGTAGTACTGTGCTAGATGGCAAAAGGCAGTTAAAGGTACAATCTAAGAATTAGGATAGAGTTTTGATTTTAAGGATTGATGTTTAGGATTACAGTTGATGTCAAAATTGCTTCAATTGGAAAGGTGATTATTTGAGTTGAATTTTAGAATATAAGATGTAACCACAAATTCAAACAATAGAATTCTTAAATAAATAAGTATAATCATTTTATTTTTTTTATGCTGTGTATTGATTAAGAAAAATACTAAGATCAATGAAAAAAAAACCAAATTAGCAATTATTTTAACTAAAAGTTCTAATTAATAGAGTATAAAATAGTAAACATGATTTAAATCAAAAATCATAGAAAAAACAAACGTTATATATATATATATATATATATATATATACTTGGTTATTTCTACATTACATAAAGAAACTAAAATTATTGTAAATTTAGTGTCATTAGACATTGTTTGATTAAATATATTTAATAAATAAAAAATATTGTGATATTTTTTATTGATACAAATAAAATTTATAAAAAATAAGTATACATCTTATATAGTCATGGTTTTTGTATTCAATCAATCTTATGTTCAACTTAATACATAAACTTTTAAAGCTATCTTTTAGGTATGTGTATTAGCTTGGTCTAAACAAAGGACTAGCTTTGATAATTTTTTAAAAATATCATAAAAATAATATATTTTATACATAATCATGTTTAATAATATTATTTCATTAAATTATTTTTAATAAATGATTCAATGATTCCATTAATTACTCCTTGCCCTTTAAATCTTCTAAAATAAAGATATTTAAGTCAAATAAATCCAAGATAAAAAATATATGTAAAATTTTAATAAAATTATTATTTAATGTTATTAGAACTATTTTTTCAACTGTTCAAGTTTTTATTTCATATAAGCACAATGTTAAGTCCTATTTGACTTAATATTGATAATTATAATGTTGGAACAACAAAGACTTTTAGACTTAATTATGAATGATTGGACTATTAGATAAGTTATGACAAATTTTTTTTATGTTTTTTACAATTCCAAAGCACAACAATAAGAGAAGTGCCATATAATACTTTTATAATTTTTTCAAAAATTAATAATTAAGACTAATTCTTCTCACAATATATTTTTTAGAATTTAGTTATCTACTTTGTCTCTCATTTATTACTTTCTGCTTTTTAGATATAATATAAAAATTTAGACAATATTTCTTTTGATGATACTACTCATAGAATAGATCTTCAAAAAATCTCATAAGACAACATCTTCATTAGTATAACTTTATTTTAAATCAATAAATACTATATAAGCATCTATTCATGGCATAAATCCTTATATATTTAAAATTTGATACTAGTTAAAGTGATCTAGAAGCTTTGATTCATTCAACTACTATATCTTTGCAAATTATATAATCATTTTTATTGTGTTAGCAATTTGATTAATCTTTATTAGTCAAAGTTGAAAGAAAAAAAATTTTTATATTAAAAACTCTAATCTTAAAAAGAACTATCAAGGACAAGCATTTATATGGGCTTGTTAAAAGACAATTTACTTATGCATTAGGAAGAGAAAAGAAAGAAAGAAGACCAAGAATAGAAATATTAATAAGATGAAAAGGTATTAGAATGACTATTGCCAAGTACTAAGAGACCAAAGAGTTTTTAACCAAGATCATAGTATAAGATTAAAAATAATCTTAGCCTTGCCACCATATACACTAGTTGGCAAAAATACCATTTAGAAGCTTTTGAAAGATTAGGAGACTGGCAAACTATCTAAATTACAAAATACCTTAGTAGTGACTTTCGAAATGTAAAAAAAAATCTTCAAACATTTTGTAATTTTGCAACTAGTATACTTTTCTTCCAGCAAACGTGACCAAGATCAAAACATCATGTCTATGTTATCAATACCTTTAAGCAAAGGCTTCATATAATGTCATACTACAGATTTAAATAAATTATTAAATCAACATTGACTAAGGTAATATAAAATCATTTAGTTGAAGAAAAGATATATATGTATATATATATATATATATATATATACATACATACATTCACATATACATGAATACACATGAGTTTGTAAAGTTTGACTTAAGATCAAATAAACTTGGTAAAACAACTTTTCAAATGATTTAACAAACAACTCTTCATGAGTATTCTTGTGCAGCAAAAACAAAACCTCTTCACTTTCAAATAGAAGATATTAGGACTTAAAATTCTAGTTGAAAAACTTATGCATCATACTGCTCATCCTTGAAATGGTAAAAGTTCGAATGGTTCATCTAATACAAAAGAAATATTCTTGTCCATGTCATCCTTGACCACATCTTCCAATTAAGAGGGTACGCTGTAATGACACGATGGCTAACGGTGTAACACTAAAGGCATTTTCTTTTGCATTTTAGAAATGAATGTATGATAAAATCTGTGAGACGAAGCTCATTGTCAACTGTCAGTTTAAGGGCTAGTTCCACCCCACTTTATGTACACCTCATCAGCTTCTTTGATGCCAAACCGTGCAGTCTTGAGTTCTAAACTAAACCCTTGTAGATATAATCGACTGGCGCAGAACTAGTAAAAAGAAACTGGCAATTCTAGAAGCAAAATCAAGCTCTCCATCCACCGTGAGGAGCACGTTTCCAGCAGATCGAAATGACTGGACTAATCCTCACCATGGCAGTGCTGAAGCTAGCATGCTTTAGACATGACGAGAGCGAAAAAAATTTACCCCCAATAACAGCATTAATAGGTCTTCATGCTGTTGCGTGAAGTGGGATCGGCACTGGAGATATGTGTATGTAATCACCACCACGCAGATGAATCCCTGAGCACAACCCAATTGGATTGTGTCACTTGTAAGGAGTAAAAATACCATGTGACGAAGTTCTCAGAGGATGTTTTGGCAGAGCTGTGAATTAGGTCACTTTAGATCCTTGAACCTCCACTAAGTGCCTAGCTATTCAAGCAACAAGTACCAGCTCGGTTTGCTCCTTCTTCTTCTTCTTCCAGCGATTCGTATCGATTTCTGCACCTTACTTCGCTGATGAGTTCGGTGAGTTGACAAGTCGGTGTTCGAGGAATCTTTGAAGGAGTAGCTGCAATTGTTTCTGATCTAAGGGCTAAGACCACAACAAGAAAAAACACATCCGTACCTGCGTCAGGTCAATGCTTTCGTAGTTCGGTGAGTTGAGGGATACTATGCGTCGTACAAGAATAGATCACCCCGTAGCATGGAAACTATGAAGAGATGTTATGATACGACAGAAAGACACGAGTAGTAATACTGACACTTACCTTGGGTATATAGTCGTCCATTCCAGCACTAAAACACATCTCATGTGTGCCCTTCATAACGTCGGCTGTGACAGCCACTATGGGGATTCGGTGGTGCGGGCACTCTTTCAATTCCTGGTAATCGTATTTGATCCTCTCGAGCGCTTGACATTGGTGACATTTGCCGACTTCCCACTCTCTAATGAGCCTCGTGGCTTCGTAACCGTCCATCTACAAAAAGACGGTAGTGCTAACACAGTTAGAAAGAGTCGAAATAGTTGCTGGAAATGACAGAAAATAAAAACAAATAGTCGATCCCTACGTCACAGACATAGTACCTCTGGCATTTGGATGTCCATCAAGATCATGTCGAACTGCTTGTCAGCGTCTTGCTTTTTCACAATATTGATTGCCTGAATCCCACCATTCACAGTGACAACGGTTGCACCATTACGTTGAAGTATAGAGCTCGCCACTCTTCTATTGACCATGTTATCATCTACCACAAGAAGACGTTTCCCTGCGAGCATCTCAGCGTTGGCGTTTTGTTTCCTGGAAGGATTCGTCACTTCTATCCCCAGAGTTTGTAGAAGGCCTGATATCAAAGCGTTACATCGAAGTGGTTTGTGGACGATGTGCTGGTAACCAGCTTTTTGTAACTCACTCTGCAACTCACTTTCAGGAGGAATAGACAGAGCCAACACCGGAATTTTATTGACGACCGACTCCTTCAATCGTTGCACCAGCTGAATCGCTGTCATATGGTCCATGCCTTGCAAATCCACAATCACAGCTTGGAATGGAGGCCCTTCATCTCTGCAAGCAAAAAAGGAAGCACATCACAAAACACACACAAATGTCATATACACTTCATGTTCGACATAGTAATTCATTTTCTCGTTTACAGTTTTGTGATTCTAATGTCGGCAGTAGTAACAGTTTACCTTGTTAATAATTCCAGGGCAATGCTCCCATCCTCAGCGTACTCAATCAGTGCTCCCACTCTTCGCAAATATGTTGCTGCAACTTCCTGCTCCATGTCCAAACACATTTGTCAGAATACTCAAAGGACGGACAAATCGAACACCATCAAGCTCCACCTCCGAATTTAAAAACTAAATCTGCACTGCAAGTTTAAAAGTAAAAACAAACAATCTTTGGGGGTGTTTGAGACAGCACCTGCCGCACAGGATTCGCATCAACCAGAAGCACTCTTATACCACGAATACGTTCGTCTTCTAAGTCAGATGGCGTGCGCTTCATGGTGAAGGCCAGCTTGCGCAAATCGCCTCTTTGACCTGAGGTTGGTAACACCAGTGAAAACTTGAAGACGCTGCCTTCCCCTGGTTCACTTTCAACAGTTATATCTCCTCTCGTCAACCTTACCAGTTTCTGCAAAACATCGAAGCAACACAGCAATGTGAACGACATTCTCAAGGTATCAACATTATTCGTCTTTCGAATAGTGACGATTTGCACGACAAACCGACATGACCACTAACGCATTGCATTTTCCCTCCAAGTGAATATAAGCCTAATGTGACGCATAACACAAAAGATCTGAAAGCTAATTTCAGACTATCAAGGGCAGGAACACATGAAAATATAAATACAAGCATAAATAAATCAACGTCTGTCTAGAATCAGTCTTTCATAGATGTGCTCAAGCTTGGGTCCAACCTGGCAAATAGATAGGCCGATGCCAGTTCCGCCATACTCCCTGGAGGTACTGCTGTCGGCTTGCACAAAAGGTTCGAAGAGTCTGCTTTGCATGAACTTCGGGATCCCAATTCCTGAATCTTCAATCGATATGACGCAAGCCACTTCGTCAAATTCTAGACTGCCACTAGGTTTCCAATTTCTCCACTCTGCGACGCATGCTGATGTACTCAAAGGACCTGGTTTCATACTCAACCTAGGCGGCGCCATCTTAGGATGTCGCGCCCTAAATAAATTGCTGCGAACGGCCATAACGCCTTGGAGACTAGTATTATGGCTACCATCTGCGGATTCTGTCTCTGGATTATGTCTATGTCTTGTGTCAATAAGGTCAAGAAATTGCTCGTTCGAAGAAGAGACAGTAGCAAAGAACTGGGGATCCACAAGCCTTACGCACAGAAAGATGTTCCCGTGCTTGGTGAACTGCACAGAATATACGGAAATTAGAGAACGTGTTTATATGGTCCATTAGAAAGGATTCCATATATCATATGAGACACCCAAAGCCATGAAAATACATGACATGATTCAGATCCGCACCTTGATAGCATTTCCGACGAGATTAATCAAAACCTGCCGCAATCTTCCAGGGTCGCCATATAACCACTGGGGAACAGTATCATGTACCAAAGCTGAAATTTCGAGCTTCTTCTGATATACTTTGTCTTCAAAGAGAGACAATATATTGTCCAACTCTTCCCGTATGTCAAAGGGCACTGTTTCTATTTCCATTCTTCCGGCTTCGATCTTGGAGAGATCTAGCACATCGCTTATCAAAGCCCTACATATGCACAAGTTCTACTCATCACGGACTGGACCAATTCTGAGGCGCTACTAAAGAATAACTTCTATAATCTCGTAACTTACACAACAGAAATTGCAGAGAGTAAAAGAAAATACTTACACTAGAGCGTTGCCACTGGCCTGGGCAATCTTCACATACTCAAGCTGCTGCGGCGACAAATCCGTTCCCATCAATAAATTTGTCATTCCTGTACACAATCATAACAATTTCAGATACTGTTTCTCAAGCCCTGGATATTATTGTAACCAAAAATCGCCCATGGCACATCTAGTGACAAGAAAGACTCAGTTCCAAATTACCTAGTAAAGATTCAAGTGGAGATGAAGCAACAACCAATCCTACCTATTACACCGTTCATGGGAGTTCTGATCTCATGTGAAACAGTAGCAAGGAAACTAGACTTGGCAGTGTCCGCAGCCTCCGCTTTCAGTTTCGCAGCCCTCAATTGAGCATGTATCTTCTCCCTTTTGTCAACATCTATTTCAGCGGCGGACATTTTCTTCAATACGAGGTAGACTGCCACGGTGCAAAATACAACCATTGCTAACATAAGCAAGGGCCATGCAATCATCTCCCGCAAGACGTGCAAACGGATGTTGTGATTGTACCAGCATTGCAGCTCTATGTCCAGCGACCCATATGAGAAAGGAACACCAACCGCCTCGAGCCCCTTTGATTTCAGATGGTTCCCATAAAACCGAACTTCACAAGGATTAGCGTCTACACTGCAATTGTAGTAGGCGTTAAGTCCCAGCGACGGATTCACTTTGGCGGTGGCAGAAATATCTAGGTCTGGATCCTTGAATCTGCCCAAAGGATACACTTCGTAAGAGCGCTTCAGGGAATGGTTGGAAGGCAATCTATGTATCAGAAATGACTTCTAGAATATCTGATTCCCTCATAAACTTAAACCTTCCCAATATAAAACATAATCTGCAAGCTCAGAACATTTTCAGGAAACATTAATTGCAGTTTGAGGGTGCAGAATTGAAGACACAGCAGAGACTCTGCAGCAGTCAACTGTCAAGCAATTTTGCAATAAAAAAAAGTATCGAACAAACATATTGTAAGTTCTTCGAAGGCTACTGAAGAATAACATGCAAACATCACGCACTGAAAAGGGCTAGATAACAACCTTGACACGACGGAGCCAAATACCTCCTGAACACTCAAAACGGTCACCACATAACCAACACAGCTAGCTCTCCTTGCTTCGACAGTTTTGAGGGTATCTGGATCAACCTCGCCATAGTAGGGTAAGAAGGATCCCATTCGCCACAGCTCTTTACCTTCGTTCACGTAAGGTGCAGACAGGGAGAAATTACCCGAATCTCTGGCCTGCGTAAGTGAACTCCGAAAAATAGGGTAACCGAATATATCTAACATGAACATGGAAATATTGGCAGATTGAAGGAAAACAGGTGTATATTCCTCCGCCTTCGCGTAATTGGTAACTATGGTTTTGTTAACATTGATGTACATGGTCTTATTATATTTCATCTCCACTGCTTGCTTCTGTTGTGGCAAAACTCGCAAGCAGTACACCAGGCTTTTCACGTGGGGGCGAAGAAACACAGTCTGCTCTGTGAAGGCCATCCATGTATCTTGATCCACGTTTGGAACGCTAGTCAGCAATCCAAGAATTACAAAAGATGCACCTAAGTTGTTATCTACTTCCGACATGAATACCTGCAATTGTGAAATTGAAACAGATGTTTCCAACATCAAACGTAGAGCTCTGACACTACACAGCTAGAATTGCTTCCAAAAGTACATTCCAAAAGCACAAACCCTCTATAGTACAGTATTTTACTCATGCATGACAATATTGCATTTGGCGTAGGAATCACAACTAATGATGATGTAATTCTCATGATTCAGCACATCGACAGTCAAAAAAACGGAGAGATGGAGGTTCACAAGGGGAAACGCATTCTTTAAACCCAGGACTGACGACACATATTCTCGTAGCATATTCTATGAACTAAGATGTAGACCCTTATTAGGTATGAAAATTGGGTTTGATGAGACACACATCCGAAACTTCCATTTGTGAACAGTAATATGCGCTCGGCTGCCACGCATCCTCCTCAGAACACTAACAAATCCTTCTATGAGATATATTAGTAGTTAAAGTTCTCAACACGCCCAGACTCCAATAACCATTGATTCTACATCATTCACGCCCTGCCCATACCAGCGGTCTTGAAGACTACGATAATCCAAGTAAACAGACCACTTGTCCAATCTGCTTACACACATTCAATGCTTCCAAAGGGGCTGCGACCAATTCTCGGCCAGCTATGAATGTACTTGCGCTTCGTTCACCCTCAATGATAAAATCACACAGCTGCCGATGAAGAAGAATCATTTCTCTCTTAAGAACAAACTGCATTCGAGCATGAAAAATGACACCCGCCCACGCTACCTCTTGCCTTTCACTCACATCCCTCTAAAAAAACTGACTGCACACTAAGCATCGGAAGGGGATTGTAGGCTACTACAACTCTAGAGGGAAGAAAATTAGCTGTCTTACTTCTTTCCGATTCTCGCACTTGAGCCGAATCTCTTGCCGCATGTTCGACAAGCCACTCCTGTATACCACCACGCCCACCACAATCACCAGCGTAAATGCACACAAGATGCACAGTATCCGCACCCGCCGGGAAATAAACGGATTCAACCTACACCACCGCCCTAGAAACCGCATTTGCGGCCTCGACATCCGACTCGACTCCAACTCCGATCCCATCGATTCCCGCTCACTCCTCTCCCTCACGGTCTCCATCATCGCCGCCCTCGCCCTCCGAATTTCCATCTCCGTCACCGGTACCACTCATCCCAAGACCCTCCGACTTCCCCTACCTCCCGCTCCCGCACCCATCTCCCCCCTCAGCACCACATCCCCTCTAAGCCTCAGCCCAACAAACCAAACGGAATTCAACACGCCGTCGTCAGCACCTTCCAACCGCCTCCCTCCGCAACCTCAGCTACGACCCACCGTAACCCACAGTCTCAAAACGCGGACCAGGTCGAGATAAGCATGAAAACCACGACCGTGATGACCACCAACAAACTCTCGTAACCTTCCCGGCACCAGTAATCTCGGCGCCTCAACCGGCATTACCCACTGGGCATCACCGAACCGGAATTTCTCACCACTACACCCTACGCTCTGCGCAAATCATGCACACGGCGACAATGCCAACAAGCCACGGCCTACGCGACGAGCACTCAACTGTAGAGGCATCAAGCCAGCATCCAAGCTCCGAGGCTGTTATGCAGTTCGCAGGTTCCGTCGTCGCTCAGGTTCGGCCTCCAGCATCCATCGCTACAACCTCCCCACGTCTATTTTTCGAACTCTGCGAATATTCCTCCGCGTCACGCGCTGGCCTCCCCCCCCCCGTCGTCGCGTGTCTCGTCGCGTCCGTGGTCTGGCGTCGCGTCCGCGATCAAGTGACGCCCTGTTGCAGCCCCTTCCTCAGTCCACAAACAACTAATAACAAAGGGGCTCGGACCATGTTGGACTTATTCCAACTGTGCTGTGCTTCAGGTGAGCATCATGTGTGTATTATAACCGGAGGGAGTTCTTTTTTGTTAAAGAATTTCTAGAACCTGTTTTAGGGGGCGGCCATTGCTGAAGCCATGCATTGATGGCTTTTTGGATTGTTGGTTTTAAAGAGTTTAGAGTGCAAGAAGAGGTGCCGGCACATGGCCATTTCAATGGGCAGAGATTTGGTGATATTTAAGTGATAACATTTTATGTTGTAATTATTTATACTAACTAAAATGCACACAAAGAAATTACTAGAGGAATGTAACACATAAAATTTTCACTATATTTGCAATTATTCTATTTTATCACCTCAAAAGAATCATTTAGTATGTCCTTATGTGATACAATTGCAACATAATTGTAGAATTACAAAGCAGCTTTTATATAATATATATATATATATATATATATATATATTGAAAATGAATATTAAACAAAGTTGTTATGTTTTATATCATACTAAGTAATATATATATATATATATATATATATATATATAATCAATAAAGATAATGATGTAGTGCTTCGTACCCCCATTGAATTTTCTTACTGTATGTATTTCGAATTTGCTTGTTTGTTTGTTTGTTTTTGAATTGTCTATTTATTTTAAAATTCAATAAGAAAATACATACAGGTTTTATTGTTTTACTTTTAAAAGAATATATAGAGGAAGATCTTATTCAACTGGCAAGAAGAATTTTTAACAAAGTTGATTACAAACTATACTTGGGTCTAGTTTGAAGAATTTATATTTGAAAAAATTATACATTCATGAAAATAAATAAAATTCAATGGTAAAAACAACACTTAAAATTCTAAAGACTATATTTATTATTTTCTATTTTCAAATGCACATGATAATTAGAACATATGTGTGAATTTGAAATTGTACTTTATTATTATTATTATTATTCTCAGCAAAACCAATCAATTGTAAAATCAAATTCTAAAAGCATATATTATAATTAAAGGAAATCTTGAATAATATAATAGGACCTTATAATATTATGTAATACTTTAGAAATGAAAGAATCAAGAAGTAATTGAGTCTTGACAATTTGTATTATAGATTTAATACAATAAATATTTGGAAATTATTTATAGTTATAGATAAACAATAGATTGATGGTAATTGAAGGTTTTTTGATTTTTAAATCGAAACTTGGGGTAATTAATAAATTAAAATCAATAAAACTTTAGAAAAAATGTATTTTAATCCAGATAAATAAAATAATTTTAAAATAAAATAAATCTAGATGTTAGAATCATAAATTTTAGGTAATAAAAATGATATTCATAATTTAATTTTAGATGTATTAATTATATTAAGTTCTTTTGTGCCAAAAATAATGCATTGGATAGTGCCATAAGATAAAATGAAATAAAATACACTAAAATAAAAATAATAACAAAAACGCATTTGATGATATACAAAAAGTAAATAAGCAAATAAATTATTCATAATATTATTATATTATTAATAATAAATTATTATATAAGTATATTATAGAACATTGTTTGTTTTTTTGTTTATGTATATATATATATATATATATATATATATAATAACACAACAGGTCATCCAAGATACTGAAATAGTTTCTATGAAAAAATAACAAATATAATCAAACAACCATCTCTATCATAAAATTAGAACAAAATAACATGTTTGTTTTCCTTACACCATGTATTGAATATAAGATTAGTTTGATAGATTCAAAATTACCAACTCAATGTAATGATTTTTGTTGATTTTAAATATTTAAAGAAAACATAATTTTCTTTGATGACAGTTGGGTGTACCAAGAGAACACAAGCCATACTTGTATGTATATGTTTATGTATGTATGTATGTATATATATATATATATATATATATGACTTAGTAAACAAAAAAATTTATATAATACAAAGATGTGATGTCTAATTAAATTCTAAAACCATAGATGTAGAGTCCTTCGTAGTGCACAAACCATCTTTTAAGTTTTTAAAAATATTTATTTAAGCATTCATATATCCATCTATATATACAAATACATATTCACACACGTAAAGACATGTCCATACACATACACATGCATATCTATATTTAATTATATGTCTTTTATCTTTTTTGGTGTTTAATGGCCTTTTGCTGAATGTATAAATACTAAATGAGTTTTTGGACATATTTTAACTTATTTAAATGCTTATTATTATTATTATTATTATAAGGGCATTTTAAAACTCTTCATGATTATAACTTAACTTTCATCATTTCAAAGAATATTGATAATAGTTATAAATCATTGATAAGTCGTTTATAGTGATTATGGATTATTTATAAGTTTGATTTCGTGTATATTTATAAATAAAATATATAATTTTTAGATTTGTTTGTTTTTTTGTTTGTTTGTTTGTTTGTTTGTTTGTGTTTTTTTGAAAGTAACTATATGTTTGACCTACACACAATATTTTTATTAAACTTCATATATTAAATATTCCTTTCTCAGTTTAAAACACATTGTTACATAATATATACATCATATAAATTTTAAAATTATAAAAAAAAAAAAACATATATATATATATATATATATATATATACACCCTAACATTATGATAGAGTTAATTCTAGTATAATATCTCTAAAAGAAAAGAAAAGAAAAAACATTACAACACTTGAAATATTTTGAATAAACTTTTTAACTAATATAAATTTATTTCTAAAAGAAATATAATTTTATTAATTTAAAAAACAAAGAATTAAAAAGAAATAAACAAACAAACAAAAAAGATGATATAGGTGTTTTAACAATAATACCAACTTGTAATATATTTCATGTATGAAAATACTAACAAGTTTTGTAAGTCATAGAAAGGTCTTAATGTTTGCAAAACATTCATAAGTTGTAATAAGTAGCTTGCACAAAGAATAATGGAATTAGATGATTATGTGATCAATTTTTTTGAGACCAAGTAATAAAAACATATATTTTTCTTCTTTGCCAAAATTATCTTTACACTCAATGTTGTGGATGAATAACATTCCAAATATTATGATTCACAAAGTCAAATTTGGAGCATATACTTTCTTCTTCTCTCTCTTTCTCTCTCTCTCTCTCTATATATATATTTGTAGATGTTATGAATGAATAATGGCTAGAGACTTTAGTATGGATGGATAGAAAGATTCTCAGCATGTCTTCAATCTCCAATTCTAATCTTTGCACAAGCAAAAGACTCATATACATTTTATATTATTTTAAAATAAATGTGCTACATTGTTTTTAAAATGGCACGTCTTCACTAGACTCATCATGTATGAGCTGCCCTCATCACCCTTGATTTACCAAGATTAGTTAGCACACAATGAAGAAAAAAAGAAAAAAAATACTTGGTCATATTCTTGATTTGGATAAACATCATATATTCAACCTCATTTCCAAAATTGGGGGTAGTTTCTAGCCGCCCATTTTTTCCATGTAATAGATACAGCTTTCAAAAATAAATCTCTTAACACTCGCTGAGAAAACCACAAAGAATGCTGAGCCTACAGAACCAAGACAAGCTCAAACGAAACCTGGGTGCGTGAGAAACAAAGCAGCAAGTGCTCCATTTCTAAACAACTGCACGACGACATACTTGTAATACAATTCTCCTAGACCTGTGGGTCCACCGAATCACATGTGGTTTCACAAGAAAGTCTTGGAAAATACATAACATAAAGTATAATCTCAATTAACTACATAAATCAACGCATCAGATTCTGTCATAAAAAAATTCCAGACAAACTAAAACTCCATTTGTTCCATCCCAAAATTTTATACCAGCGCTGACTGGCAACTGGTCCTCATCACTTGAATCCCAACAACCAGTATAACGGTTTAGGTTAACAGGGACACGTTGATGTATTGCTAGCTCTACACCTGGCTCTGCACATGGATTTTAGCAGGTTTGAATGAAACTTCAGTGTTCAAGAAGCTTCATAAGACTAGCAGGTCAAGAAGAGCATCGACAGGCAAAGTAGCGGCTACGATCAGCTCATGCTGCGAAATTCAACACGAGCCAGTGGAGCACGCATCAGAAAGGTACACATACGCACGAGTGACACAAACATCACACATCTTCAGTCCCAATCCATGAGTAAAGCTTAATGTAAGAGGCTGCAAAGTTTAAATGACGGACTTTGTCCATGAGCAGTGATTACAAGAGCCACAGATGGCAATCGACAGCTGAACTGTGGAATCAAGAGTCGAGATTATCTGAACCCAAACCAAATAAAACACCGGCATACTTTTCTGTGGAACCATTAAAGAAGCCATCCTTCAACTTGCGGAAAGTGCGAGAAGTAAGCAAACTGTCAGAGCCAGCCTGATGACAAGGACCAATCCGCTCCACGTCCAAAGTCTCAGCCAGCCGGTTCAGCCCGCCATGCAAGTTGTCGCAAAACTTCATCAGGTACTTGATATCATACAGAGTGGGGAAATAAGTCCGCATCAGGTTGAAAAATTCGTCCTCACTTGTCGGAAGATTTTGGCAAGTGAGCAGCTTCAACAAATAGCCGAAATCATACCCGCTATGAAAAGTAATCCAATGCACATTTTCGTTCAACACAATTCCTGACGACATCAGAAGCTCGCCAAACCTTTGCGAATCGATCCCTCGCTCTTCATTTCGCTGAAAATCGATTCCGCTCTGCTTCAGCAGCTCAATTGAGTCATGTGCATACACATCCTCCCTAAGATTAAACTCCCGAAAATTGAATTGCCATACGCAAGAATCTCTGGAGCCACATCGAGGCAGGACCCCGTTCTCGTCTGAAAACGTTAACCCCAACTGAATAAGTTTGAGCATGTCCACATTTGCCCTAAGAGTTTGATAATGATACTCTGCGCTATTCTTGAACGTACCCACGGGCCTCACCACCACCCCGGGGAACTCCGTGTCCATCGCAACGTAAGGGTACTCATCCACAATGTCCCGTATCAGCTCGAACTCATCCTCCAGGTTATCAGCCCATACCTCCCGGATGCGGAGGGAACCTCCGTTTGCAACAATCGACATGTAGTTGGGGTTTCCTTCTCAGGGTTCTTTCTTCTCCGCTCGCCAAACCGTTCACCCTGTTCCCCGGTAGTTGCATAAGCCGCTCGCCTTCTCTGCTCTTTTTATGCCTGGCCCCTAAAGCCTGCTCTGTCTCCACCTCTCGGTCTTCGACCCTCAAGGTTCTCGTACACCACATAAGAAAGACACCAAACCCAAAAACAAAAATAAAAATAAAGACGAACCCAAAAACAAACGAACAAACGAACCAACGCCCACCAACGCCACCAGCACACCCAACCACCACCCGCGCACCCTACATACACCTCGCCTCTCGGTCTCTTCTCCACATACTCATCGCCGTCTGCGTTCCCGTGCACAGCATTCATACAACACTGCCCCCACTCCCCGTAATTCCCATACCCAACACAGCAACGCCCGCATATACGTCTTCAAATCCCTACTCAACGCGGCTAGTTCCGAACACTAGAACAAGCTCCCCACTGGCTCAATCGAATCGCGGCAAAAGCAGGAAAGTATCTGAGAAAAAATTCCTGCAGGAACCAGAGCCATGACACCACTGATCGTTACTGCTGGGGCACAGTCGCGGCGTGCGGGCAACAGTTGCCGAGTTGCCGACGAGCTGAGGGTATCACAGCAGGAGCAGGGGAAGGCCGCGGAGGAGCAGCAGCAGCAGGGGAGCAGGCATCAGTCCGACCTCCCTGCTGCTCTGGTTCCGGACCTCCTTTCTTCCCGGCACCGAATCGATTCAACCCGACCCGATCCGGACCGGCCCGCCAAGCAGACAGGAACTTTCGGGATCAGCCGGGCAGACCGGATCGGGCCTGTAAAAGGGATCAGCCGCCCAGGGGCCCGCTGGACAGTGGGATAATAATGAAGACACAACAAAAAGGTCCCTCTACTGCTGTATGTTTTACTTTTGTCTTTAATCTTCCCCGACTCTAGTTCACATCTTTATGACTTGTCAATTTGTAAATCTGAATATAATCACTTTGGGTATTATTATGTGATTATCTCACTGGTTTTTATATTTATTAATTTTAATGAAACTAATGCAAACTGTGAAATTACAACTTCAAAAACTCCATGCTATACTGAAGAAGTATGAGACTTGACGTCTGGTAATATTTGCCTAAATTAGGTCAAACATGGAATATTTGTAGCAGAACACGTGGTAAATTTGTTTGAATTGTTTCATTAAAAAATATTTTTTGAACTCTAAAAAATTTGTAAGACAATATAATTATTATATATATATATATATATATATATATATATATACTAATACCAGCATTCTTTATATGTGCTTCATGAATTATTGTATCCTCAATATTCACATTAAAGACAAAAGTAAAACATTAAAGACCAATAAATTAAACATCAATATAATTTAAAGACAAAAAAATTATATTGATGTTTAATTTATTGGTAAAGAGAATTTTCGTTTTAAAATTTTAAGTTGATTATATCTTTGTAATAATATCAAGTCAATTGTATGTTATACATTTATACTAAAGATTGAATGCTATTGAAATAAATGCATGTATATATATATATATATATATATATATATTTATATACATATATACATAATAATATTATTATTTATAATATTCTAAATATAAAATAAATTAAAATATAATAAAAAATAGTTTAAAAAGCTAAAATAGTAGATTTTTAATTTATATTGATCAATACAATTCACTTGTAGGAAATTTTAATAAAAAATCAAAAGACCAAAATGTATATGGATATATATTTATAGATATATAATTTCTTTAAATATTTAAAAATAATGATTATAAATTATATATATATATATATATATATATATATATATATTAAAAATAATATGCAAACTTTATGTGTGCATGTTGTTGTTGTTGTTGTTGTTGTTGTTGTTGTTGTTTTTATTTATTTATTTATTTATTTTAATATTCTTTTTATGTTTAGAAGTAGATTTTGGTTTTATAGTATAGAATTTTTTTGCTTCTTATAGTTCTTTCAACCTCAAGTATAATAATAATTTTAATATCTTTTAATATCTTTTATCTAATATAGAAAGCATGATAAAATATTCTTTTGATACTTAAATAAGGTGTTTGATGTCTAAGTGACTTTCAAAATGTAATTTTGCCATATAATATAATTATAGTTTTAAAATGATATATGAAACTTAATGCTTAGGTACAAAAACATGTTGCTTCTAACTTACTCTTGTATAAAAGTTAAAGATTTTCAAATTTTCAATCAAAAATAAAAATTTCATTAAAATTTTGATTTATTCTAAATACAAAAAATAGACCTATTTTAATTATTTTAATTATACATTTATTTTTAAGAATAAAAAGCAACAACATAGTTGTTATAATATGCCATTTAAGTAATTTAAATCAAGATCTAAATAGAAAAGAATTTTGAAAAGCATTTGAGTAGTCTTTTTCTTGCTTCTACAAATATTAATTTATAATAAGTTTTACAAGAACTACAAGACTTACAAATCAAGTGTCCAAGTTGTGGTATATTTTTACAATAGTTTTTTTAAATATAAAACAAATTAAAAAGAATTTTTATAGCTATAAGAAAAAACCAAATATACTTGTATTTTAAACTAATTAAAAAATTAAAAAAATAAAAAATAAAATCACAATGTTTCTAAAAGATAATAATATTTACTCAACATATCTTTACTTTTGATTAATATGATGTGCTTCAGCTTATTTCTATTTACTCAAATATTAGAAATATTTATAGACTTAGATATGGCTTGATTAATGAATAACCATCTACCAAAAATATATAATTGGCTAATATTGGCTTGAGTCTAAAGATATATATTACATATTAAATATATCTATAGTTTGATTCTAATATTAGAGCAATATATTCATCTCTAAGTTGTTTGAGATTTTGGAGCATATTAGTATAATTTTGGATACTTTAGAAGAACTTATATCTCAGGCAATTATTTGTGACAACCGCCTCTTTGAATTATGACAAGAAAGACGATCAAGCTGGAGAAATGATGGAGCATTTGCTACATTTTCAAAAGGTCCAGAGAATCACTCCACAGATCCTGAACCCATGCAAATTGATGCGGTACGTTTCAAACCCCTCACAGCTGAGGAAAGGAAGCGACGGTTTGAACAAAACTTGTGTTTATATTGCGGAAAAGCGGGCCATAAAGCTGTAGATTGTCGGAAGAAACAGAAGCCTCAAACAACAAGACTCAGGAGTACAAGCATGTAGGAAAACAAGGACGCCCAGCCACAATAGGGACCGTGCGGCTGGACATCTCAACATCCAAAATTAATCAAGGTCCCTTTCTCTCAGCTCAACCTTCAGATTGTTTTATGGTACCTTTACATCTGGGTATTCAAGAACTACAAGTCGATGCTTTATTAGACTCGGGTGCATCCACTTGCTTTATAGATGAAGAGTTTGCCAAGCTTCACAATATTTCTCTTGTAAAGAAACTTAAGCCTGTCCATGTAGAAGTCATAGACGGACGACCATTGTCTTCGGGCAATGTTATCCATGAAACTAAACCATTGAAGGTATGTCTTAAAAACCATGAGAGCAATATTGTGTTTAATATTATCAAGACCCCTTCATGTCCTATCATTTTGGGACTATCTTGGCTTGATAGATATAATCCATTGATAGATTGGAAGTTGCGGAAAGTGACATTTCCAACAAACTCCTTGAAGGTGGAATCTGCCAAGACAATGTCTAGAAACAAATCCTTGTTTATAGGTGCAAGGGCTTTCATGAAGGAAGCCAAGCAAAATACACCTCTTGTCATCTTCGCAACTCCGACTCGAGAAGATGCAACTCTAACTTTGGTTATTCCAAAGCAGTATGAAGAATTCAAAGATGTCTTTGAAAAGAAGAATGCTGATATGTTGCCAGAGCATCGATCCTATGACTGTGCCATTGAATTGCAAGGAGTACAACCACCTTTTGGACCAATCTACAATTTGTCGCAGACGGAGTTGACTGAGTTGCGAAAGTACATTGACGAGAATCTAGCCAAGAACTTCATCCGTCATTCGAAGTCGCCAACTGGGGCACCAATCTTATTTGTGAAGAAGAAAGATGGCTCACTACGGATGTGCGTGGACTATCGAGGTCTCAACAAGGTGACAAAAAAGAATCGCTACCCATAGCCTTTGATCTCTGGTCTTCTAGAACAACTTGGGCGTACAAGGATCTTTACAAAGATTGACCTAAGGGGAGCTTACAACCTTGTGTGAATTAAGGAAGGAGATGAATGGAAGACAGCGTTCCGAACAAGGTATGGCCATTTTGAATACAATGTCATGCCATTTGGTCTTACTAATGCTCCAGCGGTCTTTCAACACATGATGAATGACATCTTTCAAGAGCATCTAGATGATTCTGTTGTCATCTATCTAGATGATATTTTGATATTTTCTAAGAACGAGGAAGAACATGAGAAGCACGTTCGTCTGGTACTCAAAAAACTACGGGAGCGAGGACTCTATGCCAAATTGGAGAAGTGCTTATTTCACCAAACTGAGATGGAGTTTTTGGGATTCATCGCGACTACGGAAGGCTTGAAGATGGATCCAAAGAAGGTGGAAGCAATCATGTCTTGGGAAGTTTCGAAGACGGTTAGGGACGTACAATGTTTTCTTGGATTTGCTAACTACTATCGGATCTTCATCAAGAATTATTCTCAAGTTGTTGCCCCCCTCACTCGGTTAACGTGTAAGGACAAGCTCGAATGGGGACCTATCGCAGAAAAAGCATTTCAAGATTTGAAGATGGTATTTACTACAGCTCCAATCTTGGTACATCTGGACTTTACAAAGGCCTTTTATTTGGAGACAGATGCTTCGGATTTTGCTTTGGGAGCTGTACTTTCACAGATGGGCGCAGATAAGAAGCTCCATCCAGTTGCGTTCTATTCTCGAAAATTCTCTGCTGCTGAGATCAACTATGAGATCCACGATAAGGAACTCCTTGCTATAGTAGATTCTTTCCAAGAGTGGCCCCACTTTCTCGAAGGAACTGCACATCCAGTGTCCGTATATACGGATCACAAGAATTTGGAGTATTTTATGTCGGCTCGGGTGTTGAATCGGCGTCAAGCTTGGTGGAGTATGTCGCTATCCAGGTTCGACTTTGTTATTACTTATCGGCCTGGGAAGCAACAAGGGTTGTCCGATGCATTATCAAGGAGATCATATCTCGTGCCAAAGGCTGGAGATGCAGCATTTAATCAACAGTGCACGACATTGTTGAAGCCAGAGAAATTTCGGCTCAACGCAGCTATTGTACTAATTGATGCTGACTTCCTCGACCAGGTACGGGCTGCAACCATTGAAGATTCTCTAGCCCTTGATATCAAACAACATGCTAGTGATGATAAATTCAAGATGGAAGAAGATCTAGTATATTTCGAAGAGCGGTTGTATATCCCAAAAGGGCCAACACGACTCCGAGTTCTTCAATCTCGTCATGACTTTCCAACTGCGGGACATTTTGGATTCAATAAGACCTTGGAACTTATTTCCCGCGATTTCTGGTGGCCTCAAATGTGGAAGGATGTGAAAGATTTTGTTGTATCTTGTGACATTTGTTCAAGATCCAAAAACCCTCGACATCGGCCTTATGGACTTCTACAGCCATTGCCTATTCCGCGCCGACCATGGTCTTTGGTTTCCATGGACTTTATTACGGATCTACCAC